CGCAGCGCGAGTTCATTTTGAAGAGAGCGGCGGTTAGTGCGCGAGCGGAGGTTAAGGTGAGCCCGCGAGAGGCGGCGGTTACACAGAGACGGGCGGGGCTGGGGGGAGGGGACGGCGGCTGGCCGGAGGATCCGGCTCTTTGTGTGCCGCGGTGATGGACGGTGATTCTCGCCTTTGCTGAAGGCGCTGTTGCAGCTCAAGGGTCCGCAGTAAGGAGGGAGGACTGCAGCGGGAGAACCTTAGCCCCCTGTCCTCCTGCCTCCCACCCCCCATTATCCCCGCCACCGAGCCGTGTGAAAACCCGTCTGTGGCACTTGAAGAAACTCTTCATAAGGCCAGCTCGGTGCACAATGAAGTTTAAAAACTCTGCAAGATGTACTGAGGGTTAGGGGGATCGGAGTATTTACAACTGCTGTTTGTCGTCCTGTAAGGAACTCGTTTTTTTTAACAAACTGTGATGAGTTTTGTTATTGTTGTTAAAAGGACCGCGGCACATTCTGCTCATGTGCTTTTTTTGCACCGTTCTTAATCATTTCGTTTGATTTTGATCGTTGGTAGTAACATGACCACATTAAAACCTAGTTGCTACGAGTTTTGGTGCACGCATTACTTTGAGACGAAGAGTACTACATACTTCCACAAAAATAGACATTTTAAGACCATGCGATTCTGCTGATGGATTTATGTTTTTACGGTCTTGTTGAACATTACCTGAAAGAAACAAACGGATCTATATGTGTAAGTTGTATTGAACTTTTTTGAGGATACCTCCCTTTAGCAACACATTCTTTACGTTCTTCCACATTAACCAATAACTCTCTCAATAGTTTTGATGTGGTACCCAAAAGAGAGATGCACAACAACCTCTGGAAATTTCACAATGCAGTTCCAATTGCAAGGTCTTTTTTTAAATTGCATTCAATGTGGATGGAGTAGCGGTAACAATGACATTTATTGAATTATATTCGTAGAAATATAAATACATGAATTAGGATGACTGTCCATTTTATATGAAATAATAAAACGATTAGTTTAACGGCATTTTAAAGTACAGCATACGTTTAAAAGTATTAATTTACCTAAACTGAATAAAATTTTGCAGTGTTCTTTTTACACTGAAATTGAATTTTCAGCTCCAACATTCTCCAGAGCTACATTAATTACTTTAAAAGTTTTTATTTGGTGATGAACCACTGTTAAAAAAAGTTAAGAAACATGTATAATAAAAATAAATAATACTGTCAATACTCAACAGAGCAGCATCTGTGGAGAGAGAAACAGTTACTTAGTGGTACTTTGATTGGCGAGCCATTCGAGTTGGCAGAACAGGAAATAGGCAGTGTAAAGGATGCCTGCAGCTGACGCATGGTTCCACTTGGATCATCTTTAGGCAGAGTTGTTGCCACAAACTTGTGCTACTAGTCAAATGGGAAATACCAGTATTAAGTAGTGAGGGATTAGCCACTAAAGGGGCAGTTATTTCAGTAACCAGAAATAGTTAATTACATAGTAGTAGAATGACAGATTAAATTAGTTTAACATTAGTTAAGAGACAATGTAATCTACGGTATCGGAACTTAATGTACGGTACATGAAAGTAGAACTGACCAACTACAAACTGGAACAGTGACTTAGATCCACAGTTTAAAACTGATTAGTTCCTCCACTGAGTTATTTATGTAGCCGTGGGCAGAGCTTCTCCAAAGTGTTCAATTTAATCTGTTCTACTGAAGAAACTTGTGGACAAACTTAGATACTGCATCACAGCCATAACTTGTATGCATAATTCCGTTGCCATGGTAACTTTATAATTTTTCAGTGCAATAGATCACAATCCTCACAGCCTTTCCATCTCTTGTTCAAGATTCTCATCCTGTTACTCTCTACCTTGATTATTATTGCTTGACATTCACCTCTCCCCATCATATCCAAGTCCTTTCTTGCCTGAGGCAAGACAGAGACCATCCCCACAGTTCAGCAATAATTCAATAGTTCCCTACAGGTACTCAAGATGTCTGGCCATAGCTGGCAAGTAAAGACCTTCATGTCTGATGAAAGTGACCTGAGCAGAGGAAAAGGAAGCAAGCAACAATGAGGTCCATACAAGAACTTAACTTCAGTAGAGGACCTGCTGTGATCTCCATTGTAAATGACAGGGTTGCATCTTATCTTAAGGTCTTTTGTATTTACTTAATTTATATTTGCAAGTGGGCATTTACACCAGATGACTAAAGTCATGGTTAGTCTCAGTGCCAAAGGCAATTGAGACCAAATTGTGAAAGTTTGGCTTATGTGCTTTAACGTCAATTGCAACTGACAGGCCAGCATATGTATAATGAAGAACATGCAAACAAGGAGGTTGTGTGTCATTGACAGGATACTAACTCTGCACATTGTCACGCAGAATGAGCAGATCCACAATGCGAAGAGAGGTCAAGGACATCAGGTTGAGTTGCAGACATTAAGGTTCTCACCCAAGCAAAAGAAAAGGCTTTAAAACTCACAGGAGAGGAGGGACTTTGGACAGTGCAGCTGGAATGGCAAGGCAAATTCATAAGTATTTATCCAACCCAATGCTGGTATATAGCACTTGGGCAGCACATGAAGAATTATCTCGTGGTTATGCTGTGATGACCCTCCAAGTGGCTCCTTTTGCGTTCCACTGCAGTTTCCTGCTATCCAAGATCAAACACACCCTGAAGGTTCCACTTCTATGGTCAACAGGACCGTTGTTCTAGAGGATGCACCATCACATGCCTTTTCTCCAAATTCAATCAGTGTAGTTATATCTAAGTGGATCACATTTAGAAATTAGGTCGCAATCTGTTGGTCACAGAACAGACACATCTCAGTACCCGAGAGAGAATGAGACAACCAAGTTACAAGCCCCCAACTTTTGGAGGACCTCTGGGGACCAGATTTCTGCTGAACCCCATCTGATAACTGGCCTATGTTCGTAGCCATAAGAAGACCGCTGGAGATATTACATAGGATAGCAGACCATATCATGGAGATGTAACTTGCAAGGCCAGTGGAAGAATCCATGTAAGCCATGAATTGTGCCATGTCTCAGACATGAGTGCATGGATTCTTCCAGTGGAGAAGGTGACAATCGCCATGGAGAGTCGGGTCAAACCCACAATCTGTACATTCCCTGACCTCCATTGCTTGAACCACGGCCTTAGTATATTGGTGGTTAGTAAGGGGCACCCTTTCTCCAAGGAGACAGGTGCCATATGCACCCAGATGGAGCAGCAAGTGCCAGCAACGCTGGACCTTCCTCTCAGAGCACCCTCAATGTGAGTGGTCTGTCCCCTCTGCCATTGGCATCAGGAAAGGCCCAAGAAAATGGCCCAGCTCCAGTGCAGGACACCCCATTTAACAGGAAACCTCCAGAGGACACCCAGCACAGTAATTAAAGTCAAACAGGACAATACATTAAGCCAACTTCTTCCAATTTTGCGAAAGATGTCTGTCAGGCTTACACAAAACATAGTGGCCCTAAGTGCAATCTTGTGATTTATTAAGAACATAAATTTAGCAGCATTTTTCAAATTAGATGTCATTTTTAAAATTGCACATTACTTTGAACTTTATTTATGTGTGCGTCATCATTTGTCAAGGCTAGCTTCTAGACCTCAATATATTGGCATGTCTCATGGTAAGCACGTTAGTTGAAGCGAATTAGGGATATTTTATTGATTGTGGAAGAAACAATGTGTGTTTGCATTCACTTTTTATTGAATATTCAGCTTTGTCTTTAACTTTGTATCTGCTAGACTGTAGGACATGGCTCAAAATGCAATCTTACCAGGCCCTTTCTTCTAAGGATTGTGAGGAGATTTTCTGAGATTAGTCTCAACAGGGAATGCTCTATGTGTTTTCATAGCCCTGTAAGAATGGTGTATGACTTGCTTTATCAGTCGCAGTAGGCTGATTGATCTATGTCCAGATGTGACACACACGTCATGAATGCCAGTATTCTCTTGTGTGGCAAAACTCCACGCCCCTTGTTCTTCTATGCAGCAGAAGTCGCAGTTTCAGATTTAGGTCAACCCGGATGGGATTGGTCTATGTCCCAAACAGGCAGTGGAGTTCTGGTGAAGGAACCATAGTCATGTAGGTGTGTCACTCTTCAGTTATTCTTGTGTTTATTATATTAGCCCTGGTATCACATGAATCTCTGGATCAGACATCTAGTAAAAGCTCATGTATATTTATGGTCTCCTAGAGCACAATGTGAAACTCATGGCTTGGCATATCCCCCACCCTACCGTTACGCTGTGAGGTGCACCCTGGTTCAATTAACAGTGCAGAAGACCATGTCAGGAGCAGCACTAGACATAACTGAAAATGAGGTGTCAACCTGATGAAGCTACAGAACAGAATTACTGGGATATTAAGGAACATAAGCAGCATCTGATTAAACTATGTGATCCCACAACCAATGGATCAGATCCAATCACTGCAGGTCCTGCCACATCCAGTCATAAACAGTGGTGTACAATTAAATAATTAACAGGAGGAGACTCCTCAAATATCCCAATGATGGAGGAGCCCAGTACATCAGTGTAAAAGACAAAGCTGAAGCACTGCATCCATCTTCAGCCAAAAGTGGCAAGTGGATTATCCATCTGGACCTTCTCCAGAGATCCCCAACATATTAGGTACCAGACTTAACTATGTAACTTCACAGTTGAAAACATTGGGTACTGCAAGGGCAATGGGCCCTGACAACATTCCAATAACTGTACTGTAGATTTGTACTCCAGCATTAGCTATGTTACCACAAGCTGTTCCATTACAGTTACAACACTGGCATCTACTCGACAATGTGGAGTTTGTCATGTGACAAAATGTAGGACTTTGCCATCCCAGCCAAATACCACCGCATCAGTATACTTCCAATCATCAACAATGTGATAAAGGAGGTCATCAACAGTGTTATCAAGCAACATTCGCGAATAATTAAACACTCACTGATGCTCAGTTTGGGTTCTGCCAAGCCCACTCTGTTCCTGACCTTATTGGAACTTTCATCCAAACATGGACAAAAAAGCTAAAATCTGGAGATGAGGTGAGAGGGACTGCCATTGACACCAAGAGAGCATTTGACTAAGTATGACATCAAAGAGTCCTAGCAAAATTGGATTCAATGGGATTCATTTGCAGCAATGTTTACTGTATACGAGATGCCCTGCAGTAACTCACCAATGCTCCTTCTAACCTTGTGACCTCTTATCACTGTAAGAGTAAGGGCAGCAGATACACTACCTGGCAGTTTCTCTTCCAAGTCACACAGTCATGACTTTAAACTGTATCGCCATTCCATTATTACTGTTAAGTCAAAAACCTGGAATTCCCTTCCTAACAGCATTGTGTGTGTCTATACACCCAAGCACTGCAGTGGTTCTAGAAAGCAACTCACCATCAACTTCTCCAGGGCAATTAGAGATAGGTAATAAATACTGATCTAGCCATCAAGGCCCACATCCTATGTACAAATAAAAACAAAAATTGTGGTAGTTTTGATATGGATCTGTGACCATTTGTAGATGTATAAGACTGCTCATAATTATCTTCAAATGACTTTCTGGAAGAGATTAAAAAATCTTTATGGGCAAGACTAAGTGGTGGAGGTGAAGGTGATGGAAAGAAACAAGTTCCCCAAACCAAATTATTGTGTAATCTTCCATCCTTCATCACTTGAACAACCCACGTAACCTTGCTTATGAAGCAAATATGTGAGCGTGAAGTCATCCAAAACAGCACCAAAATTTACAGCATACCTTTGTTATACAATTGCAGTGACTGTTCAATTTTGGCAAGGGACCAGGTTGAGACAAACTGATTTTAAAGTGACCTGAGAGCCTCCACACAGCTGCCTAGGCAAGATAAGTCAAACACTGTAGATGGAGAATACAAATCCTTCTGTCATAACATGGTTTGCTGGGATTGGATGGGTCCATGATGATCAAGCAGGTTTGAAATCAATTCTTTATGTTCCAACTGGTTTGGAATGGAAACATATTGTAAGCATCAATCATTAATGCTTACAGCACAGAGAACATTTGGTCCATCAAGTTTTGTGCAGCTCTCTGTAAGACCAATTTCACCTTTCATACTCCCCTCTCCTTTTCCCTTAGCTCTGCAGTTTCTTTCTCTTTGAGTGCTCATCCACTTCCATTTTAATTCTCTATTGCCTGGTCTTGATCTTTCTCCCAATTGGAATAGATTCTCCCGAGCTACTCTGTCCAAACCCATCACGAATTGGAATACATTTCCTGTCAATTTCTTGTAAGGAAAGTACCTCTAGATTCTCCAGTCTATTCATGGAACTGATGTCCCTCATCCCTTGAACCACTTATGTAACATTTTTCTAGGATCTAGGACATTTTCCTTTAAGTGATAGCTTCAACCATAGAAGGGGAGAGAGATTTTATTTGAGCAAGAAATATAACTATAAAATTTGCATTAAGATTCACTTTCTTTTGAAAAAAAATTTTTCTTTCCTTTTTTAATTAAATGCTTTATTTCCATCCTTTTAAAAAATAAATGAAAAGAATTAAGCAAGAAAACCTAAATATTGCTCAATAAAATTAATGTTAACTTGCTGTTTGCACTTTTTTTTACAATAAGTTGTTTAGTAGGAACAAATTAACTTTAACATGGATAATCCAAAGAAGGATCTCCCTACAGAACTTGAAACTGCACCAAAGAGTTTTGCAAAAGGTTCACCCAAAAATGCTATGTAAATATAGGTATCAAAAAGACCGTTTTACATACTAAAGAACTATGGAGCTTAACATGCGCATATTTATGTGCTTGCAACTGTCACCAAGAATTATGTTAAAATACTCTATAAGGATTTAATGAGGTGTAATTCATTTTCTATTTTTGCATTTCAATTAAAAGATTTTGTTCCAAAAACTGCAGAAACATGTTGTATTCAAGCTGGGTAAGTTAGGTACATTTTTAGAGACGTAAATTTTTGACTTTGTTTTTCTTTTTTTTAGAAGTTTACACAACTCAAGGGCTGGACAACTACTGTATGGTATGACATACAGCATAACCAGCAAATATGCAATGACCAACAGCTAAAGAAAATGGATTTTTTTGAGCCTGTTGCTACCTTATCACAGTTTTCCTTTTTTCAATCAGTGTAATGTTTCTCTTCACATGTCTGTGCATGTAGCAAAATATTTTGGAGAAATTACAATGGAAGCTAAGGACTATTCTTGTCTTCAAGAAAAGTACTGTGAATCTCTTGTAACAGCTGAAAGTATTTCTGAGGCAAATGAAACTGATTATTGTGAACTTGGAGCCAAATGGAGAATATGCAAAAACAAATTGAGCAAGGGAAATACTGTGTCACCAGAAACACACTTCTCAGTTTTTCAGACTGAAGACCCTATTTCTGACCAAATGTTGAATTTTTCTTTAAATGGAATGACATGTGAAAACAAATTTGATGATGCAAGGGTAGATGAATTAGATACCGCTGCCAGTGCTCATGAAGGTTTGTTCATGGAAAAATATAATGGAGATGACGCATTACTACCAATCCCAAGCCAGAACTGGAGTTACTTTGAATCTTTCATAAATGAAAACAAAGATGAATTTTTAGACCTTTGTGCAACAAGTGACTTTTCAGCTAATTTAATAAGTGAAGAAGACAGTGACAGCTTTTTATTTGATGATGAATCAACACTAAGTAGTGACTTATGTTCACTGAAGATAAAGTATGAATCTTTTCAAGACAATATGAGAGAGAAGACTAATGCCTTTCAAGATGATGCGCAAGTGCATTTTTTTCCCAACACACAATGTAATGGAACCAAAAATGATGAGAAAAGTCCCAGAAAAAATAATTCTTCTTCTGTTCAAGAAGAGCAAGGGGAACATGACAATCTAGAGCAATGTGCAATGTATGAATTAGAAAATAACAAATGTGTTCTATCAGGTGTTTTTATGGACAGTTGGAAGGACCGTGAGAATTCAATAAATTCAGTCTGTTTATCTTCAATTCTAAATGAGGATAGAGAAAATTGGAAGCTATTAAGGAAAAGTACAGAAAGGTATTCAAATCAAACCAATTATACCTTGAGGGCAAAACGGCAAATACGGTACAGCGATGATTATTTGTATGATATTGATTCTTTAGAGACCATGAAATCTTTGGGCAAAAAGGATCATGTAGATGTTGCACAGGAAGATGACGATGATTGGTACCCTCGGAAAAGGAAAAAAACTGGGAAAAAGGAACCACCTGTTATTATCAAATATATCATTGTTAATCGGTTTAAGGGCCACAAAAACATGCATGTGAAAATCTGTAGATTAGATTGCAAAGAGAGACAAGTATTATTGACTGATGAAATGGTAAAAAAATATAAAAAGCTTTCACCACTGAAGGAATTTTGGTCTCCAATTCCTAGTGATTGTAATGTGTGTCATAACCAAGAAAAGCTTGATAGAAAACTGAAAGTCTGTTCTGGTGCTGGTATGTCTTATATGTTCTTTGCTTCTAAAAATAAAAAACAACAAACACTTGCTAATGGGATGTCATCAATTAAAATAGGATGCACTTTGAGTCACCAAAAAGACAATGTCATTGAAACAGATACTATGAATACAGAAGTACCCAAGAAAGTACAAAAATATGATAAGTCGGTTTATGAATTTACGGATGAAATAGAACTAAAGCGCATCACCATTCGGACTGTGAGTAAGGCCAATCAGTTAAGAGTCATGCATGAAGACTCTTCCTTACAAAAGCTACAGAAGAAATACAACGTACCCTCAAAGAAAATGAGAGCAAATGGCCAGGTCGGTAAAAGTACCTGTGACAGAAATTCTTTAGAAAGTGCAAATGAAAAGCCTCAAGTTCCAGATGTAGACATGCTCAAAATTCCAAGTCAGTGGAATTCTTCTTCTCCTTCTTTACTTCATTTCAACAGTACTAGCTTACATTCCCCCACAGTCAGTGATAAATTAGAAGCTTGTAATGGTTTATTTTCTCCAGTTCTAGCTACAAGCTTCCCAGACTTGTCTACTTCTAATACACGCCTGGCTCCAGAAATCCTTGGAGGATGTTTCCGATCGCTGCTGCATGGGGAAGATTCCTCAGTTAATGAAAACATCCAAGATTGCTCCCAATCTCCCAATGCCAATAGGCAGTACAATGAAGGTGTAACAGAAAATACATATTTTCCTTCACTACGAAAACAAACTGATGAAGCCTCCACAGGGAGCAACTATAGTGAATCAAATAAGCTTTATTTGGCAGAAAAGCCAAACATCCAGGAAGCGTGGAATGTAGAGACAGTTCAGAATGTACATCCACAGAGAGTAATGGGAAAAGATCAAATTCCTTTGTGCACTGTTAACTCTCAGAATAAAAGACTGCAGTTTGGAGTTGAGAGTAGAGCAATTGTAAATAGTAACGTAAATCAATATGGCTTGAAGATGTCCAGTAGTCAAAATGAAATAAATTCCAACTTCAGTCAAAAAATATTAAAAGAAGAAACAAAGCAACTGATTCCTTCAAAAGACTCCGCATGCATTTTAGACATTTCAAACTTTACACCAGCAAAAGTAAAGCAAGGCTGTTGTTCTAAATTTTCACAGGAATATACACCAAAAATAGTTTTCAAAACAGGCAAGTCAGATATTAAATCTTTGGAGCAGTGCAGCCAAGCTCAGCTTCCCAGTAAGACTACATCACCAAATTTGTATGTAGATCAGTGTCAGGTATGTAGTGAACTATTCCACACTAATATTCATACTTACCACACCAATAGTGACCCAACATCTGTTTCTCTTTCACAACCTGCACAATCTTCTGTTCATTTACAAGCTTCTGATAATGTAAATTCAAGTAATTACAAATATTCAGAAGTTAATAAGGCAATAAATATTGCAAGAAAAAGACTTGCAGAATCAAATGGAGGCCTTTTGGGCAAAAATGCTGTTCAGAAGCAGCAGAAAACCAATGATGAGGTGAAAACTATTAAAATAGAGAGTTTTGAAAAGGACAGTGTATCACCAGAGGATTATGGAGCCATTGTAGTTCAAAATAACTCTTTGGATACATTATCTGCAAATCAAATGTACCAACCTGAAAAAAATCATAAACCTGTAAAGGGATTTACTAATAAAGGTTCAGAAGTGTGTACAAAGCTTTTGGAAAAGGATCTGATGAATGCAAAAACTAAATCTGCTATGAAGGAACCAAAACTGCATCAAAAAGGTAAATACTCAGTGGCATCTGTGGAGTCCTATGATGGTGTATCTCACAACATCACTAGAGGAAGCAGACTGTTAAATGGTGGGCAGAGAGAGTTTGAGGAACCTGGTAATATACTTTCCAACATAGTTTCTGGAATGGCAGCAGTTAATCAGTTTATGATGGCTTCAGTGGAACCAGTCATGAATCAAGCAGAAGTTATTCTCCCTGCTGTTAATCAGCCTTTGGAAGTGCAAAATAGTTCCAAATGGAAACCAAAGCCAGTGCAGGTATTGCACTTTGGTACAAAAGGTCTGAAAAGTAAGCCACAGCATGTTTCTGAATGTAATCCAAGCAATGTGAGTCTTAATAGTTACCCTGTAAATCACACTGCCTCTTGCTATATTCACAGTGTTTGTCATTCCAGTACAAAAACAGCTAACTGCAACTGTCCAAGCAATACAGTTTGTGAATGACAAAGGAAAAATATATGGAGTGAACTTAATATCTTTTTGTTACCTTGGTGAATAGCAATCTTGTTATATCCTGTTTATATACTTGGAATTCTTGAACTGATTTGCTTTTACACAGCATAGGTTCCTTTAAATAACGTTCAATGTACCAAGTATTTTGATATCTTGCCAAACCAAAATGTACAATGTCTTAAATAGATGTGGTACAAGAACTGCAGAATGTTTTTGTACATATTCCTCTTTGAAATCTCGGCCTTTTGCTATAGTTGTGGGAATACCATACTATATCAAAATTTAAGACATTTTTAAAGGTATTGTCAATTAGATTTGTGTTCAGCTTAATGCTAATGCATACTGTTTAATATATATGTAACATTTTTTACTGTGATTGTCATTGAACTTACGTACTTAGAATGATTATTATTGAAAAGTAACATCTTTTTAATAGTCAAGCTATCACTGTCTAGCTTTACTGTAAATTAAATTAATTACCCCGTCCATCTGTCTTCCCTATTTTAGATTTATTCCTTTTGTCCAATCTGCCTTTCTATGCAACTTTTAAGAATCAAGTTGTAGTTGGTCTTTTGTTGTCAAACTGAGCTAAATATTTCACTTTTGGCAGGAGCATTTGACCAAAATATTAATTTTAGAAGTAAAACAACAGTAGAAGTGAAAATGCTTTAAGAATTTTAATTGTGAAAACACTGTGCAATATGTTTTTGTTCTCAAATAATTATTGTGCTAACCACCCATATATATAGGTAAGTGATCTGTTTGTTTTGATTTATTTGATAAAACAAACTTGCAAAGATTTGCTTGACCATTGTGAATTACAGTTTTTGTTAACCGTCACAGAAAATTCCTCTTTCCTCTAGCACTGTGAAAACATATTCTAATAAAACAAGTACTAAATAGGTAGAGTTTATGTTATTTTCCCTACTGACCATAGGTTGTGAATGTATGTAGATAAAGAGTTTACCAGAAACTCAAGTTGCTGGAGGAAGCAGTTTCATTAAGAAATAACTTTTTTATAATCACAGTAAATCATTCCATTTTATTTAAAGTGTAGAATATTGCATCTAGCAGTATTTCATACAATTTAGAATTAATCTCACTTTGAGACTTACTGAAGAAGGTGATATTTCATCCCCTTTGCTTTACTTTCACTCGTAATTTTTTTTACAAAGCAATTTACTGCCTTATCATTCCTTCATAATTGTTTCATTGTCTTATCTGAAAATCTGGTGAGTGATGTAATGAGTAACTGCTGGTTTGTTTGAGTTTTAGCAAGTGCAACATTGATAAATTTCTATTTTTTGTGCACTCTATTTAGCCTATACTAAAATTCTAATAATCAGAGGCACATAAATTTTAATATTTAAATCCATTGCTAAGCAGAGTGCAGATCCTTTTTGAGGCATTCCTCTGAAATACACATTTTTCCTGGTGTCCTTCAGTCATATCTTCCCAATAAAAAAAGGCAATATTGACCTGGATTTTTCAGTAAAAATAATGGCGAGACAATCAGTGCTCACCATTATTTAGCAGTAAAGCAAACAGTAACACCTAGTAGCCACACATGCACAATTAAGGATGAAGCTTTCTGATAGTGGGGCACATCAAATATATGCAAGACTTAAGGTTATAAGATTTGACTAAATTTTACTAAATACCCATTGATCAACCAGAATTATCAGGTACATGTCCATTCAAGTGTCAGAGAATATTTTTCTTTAATTCACAATTAAAGTCTAACAACATCTCTGATGCTGTCTCATTCGAATTCTAATGATTGTGGAGATGTTTGAAAAAATAATGTTCTGCCTGTTTTATCTCTTTCAATTATCTCTCTCTCTAATGTCACCTTTCTTTCCTATTCTTTATTTCATTTTCTGCATTTGGTTTACATATCCTAATTTGCACTTCCTAGTTCAGATTTTGCAGACCTCTGAGGATTTTTCAGTTTCTTTCATTAAATAACATAATGTTGCTTGCAGTAGTTACAGAAGTTTTGGATCCTTTGTTTTAACTCTAATTGCCATAACTTCCAGTGCAAAGACCAGTGGCACTGGTATAAGTGTAGCTAGTGCAAGTCATTCACTGCTGACTACAAAATTTGGATCAATATTCTGTCTGGAGGAATGTACGATCTATCATTGATGTGTAATCAATTACAACCAAGCATCTGTATCTGCAAGATAGAATAGTAATAGAATATCAGTAAACATCAAACTAGCAATTTTCAATGCGTTGTGACAGTTCCATTTGATTGGGAAATTGCAGCTGATAATTTGCAAGGATATGGTTTTTCGGTTTTAATGAATAAAGTTATTTGAAATTATAATCTCTCAAAAGTCATACAGCACATTGTTCTCTTTGAAAGAGCTAATGAACTTAAACCACTCCCTTTCCCCACAGCCCTGCAGATATTCACTTTCAAGTACATTTCCAATCTCTGTGAAAAATTACAATTGAATCTTCCTCTAATACACTTTCAAACACGATTTTTGAGATCATCATAACTGCCTGAGATTGAAAATAAATTCTCACCTCACTGTCGGTCTGTTTACCAGTTATCAGAATTCTGGTTGTTTTGATCTACCTGGTAGTAGAAACAGTGTTCCTTATTTACTCTAAGTCCATCATAATTTTAACTCAACGATGTTTTGTCTTAATTTTCTCTGCTCTAGAGGGAATGTTACCAGCTTCAATTTTCCACATAACTGAAGATTTCACCTCTAGTTGTCTTTCCAATAAATCTCTTTTATACTCTGCAGCCTGGAGGCCCTTCCTAAAAAGGGTTTTTCCCTGAATTAAACACTACTCCAACTGAAGCTACACCAATAATTTTTAGCATTTTGGCTTCAGTATCCATGCTTTCATTGACAAAGCCAAGGATCCTGTTTTTTTTTAAACTGTTTCATTTCTGTACGATAAGACCCATGCTACAATGGACCATCAAAACTAAAAATGCATGTTTTTTTTTTTCTCAGGTTGATAAAGGTTCCTGGAGATGGTGTTTTTATATTTATGGTTTTAGCAGAGGAAAAGTCCAAGAAGTAGAAGTATGAAGACATTAGAAATAATCTACTGTATAAATATTTCTTGCACCTGAACTTTAAATAGCCTGCTATTCAATTTGGTGTATCCAAAGTTGACGGTTTCCAGAATTTTAGCTTATTCAGGAAGATCTGATGAGATGGTCCATACAGAACATGAGGACATGAGTTTAATGTTTTATTTGTTAAAAATAAGCTGTTTATTTGAGGAACATCCCCTCCCTTCCATTGAATAATAGATATGTGGAACAAACTTCACGAATCTATTATAGCCATGTGCTTCAAAATAGTTGTGTATAAGTTTTGGTTGAAAAGATTTAAAGTTGTCTGGGGAAAATTATAATCTGGCATAATTAGATAGTGCATAGGGACAAGCAGGGGACAAGTATTGTCTGTGGACAGCAACAACACAACATTGGAAAATAAATATAATGTAAAATTCTTGGATTAAAATAATTGCACAGAAGTTTGTTTCTAGAGATTAATGTAGGTGATGGAGGGGTCAAAACCATATGAATGAAATTAGTTTGATGAGCTGAATTGTTCTTCTTTGTATTTGTGTGATCGTAATATTGTATCATTGGGTTTCTAACACTACATGACATCTTTGAGTGTTAACTTAACCCTAGTCTTCCTATGCATTTTGTAAAATAGGAATGGTTTTGTTCAATATTTTTCTGTTATCTCTAATGTCCACATTTGTATATTTGCTGGTACATTTCTATTCCCATACTTCTTACATCACTAATTTTTAAATGACTAACACTTATTAAACTGGTTCACATTGCTAAGGTCAGTAATCCACATTTTTAATATATTTAACTTCTAAGAATCATACTTTTTTATTTGTTCCCTAGAAACAACTAATTGCTCATTTGTTCAATGATGGCACTCTGGATTCACTGAAGCATTACAGTTTGATTTTCCTTGATGTTGCATTTTCAGGAATTGCTGTCATGCTGGTGAATGCAGTGTACCTCAAAATAAAACTAATATCAAGTTCTTCCTGACTGAAGTTGGAGTTTATTGCTCCATTTGTCAACATTGTATTTCCTCCTGAAAATTAAGTATCTTTGTGTTGGTACATAGCACAATTTCCTGTCTCCATTCAGGCATGCCTGCCTGTAGACCACTGCTAGTGTAGAGATTGATTCACTGCTGTTCTTTTTACTTTGTGTGTTCTCTGAAATACGTAGGGAAATTTCCAGTGAGCAACTTAATATGTGAGGCCCACATCCCACTGTTTAGCAGAGTGATGGAGCTTTGACAGTGGCCTTTAACAGAAAGAACATGCCCTAAAGTAAGGTAACTGGTTGTTTACAATGAAGAATTATTAGCAATATGCATGTGTTCAGCTACATAGCTTTTTTTTAAATAAAATTGCTTGTTCACTCAGAATTTACTTTATCTGATCATACTTTGCGAAACCTAAGTTTTAAAGTCATAATAGTCTTAAACATCACATTTTGGAGTAATGTTTCTATTAAAGTCTACTCAAGTTATTAGGTGCTTCACACGATCAGGGAATCTTTGAAACATTCGTCAACCTAAGCACAATTTTGATGGTCCATCCTAGCATGTGTCTTAGCCTGTACTCCAGCAGCAGTGTTTTTAGACAAATCTGAAACATTTTGTAATTTTCAGCTCATACACAGCTGAAAAGTAAGAAGTTAAAATGATTGCCCTTCCAATAAAGCTAGAACTCAGTAGAATCTTCTTCCCTCCTCCAAAAAATGTTGTCTTCCACCTCAGTATTTTATTGCCTTATTAATCTATATTAACGAATTTTTGCAAGCAATTTTGGACTGATAACACTGATCTTTCTTATTAGTTTGGTTTATCTTTCTTACTTTCTAGTTCTCTCCCACCAGGTTATACCACATGTTTTCTTGTGCAGTTTTACCATGTTTAAGATCAGTAGAAATATTTCTGTGCTGCAATTTTCACAGATCCATGCATTTCCTATGCAAAAAAAATACATTCAGGAAACTGGTGTATTACCTGGGACAGGTTATGACTAACATCTAATGCCAATTCGCTCTTCAATCCATCCATCACCTCGATCATTTCTTCTCTATCCTTTCAATAGCAGCAATATTCTTTTTTGTTTCTGTGATGTCCAGAATCGTACAGTATTCTAACGCCAGTTGCACCAATGATTTACAAACTAGCAGGATTGCATCACCACGTCAGCACAATGCTATCCTTTGATTGTTTTGCTCACTGCAACTTTGTTTTGTTACGTAAACTTACTGTCAGTCAGGAGTTCCACATTATTATTTTCCAT